GGAGAGCGCGGAGGCGCGGGCGGGCCTCGCTGCGGGCGGGAAAGGCCCCTGGCCGGGCCTCCCCACCCCGCTGCAGGTGGACGCCGGGACCTGACTTGTGCCGGGGCCCCTGGAGCGCGAGTCTCCACGCCTTGTCTCAGCGGAGCCCGACAGGCGCTAATATCTCTAGACCTGGCGGTTGGGGGCGCTGGAACAGAACCCCCGCCTGCAGAGGCCAGGGGGAGCCGGGCGAACCCTGAGAGCAAACAACTGGAAATTATTAATAGTTAATGCGCTTCGTATGGCTCCAGCCGCCTGTTGGCTTAGCAGGGCGGACTCTGGCTCTGGCTCTCATTTTTGCCCCGGAGGAAAAGAGAGAGGGCCTATTTCATTCATCCTCAGGGGACAGACGTCCCTCCCACGTGTGTGTGTGTGTGTGTGTGTGTGTGTGTGTGTGTGTGTGTGTGTGTGGAGGTGGGAGTGGGGGAGGAGGGTACTCAGCCGAAGAGACTGTGGTCACACTAGGGAGGGAAAGCTATCGAACAAGATGGACAAGCCCAGCAGGCTGTCTCAAGGAGTCAAGGACTAGGGACCTCCGGGGGTGGGGGTGGGGGTGGGGAGCAGGTAGAGGCAGAAGGATTCTTATCCCTCCAGAGCGTTTCATCCCCAGGAGCAGTTGGTTCTGTACCCCCTAAAGAGGTTCTTGAAAACAGACCAGAACTTATACTGACAGAGAAGGCCTGAATAGGAACATGTCGGTGCTGCCGCCTTTATGACTGTGCTGTTCCCAAATCCAATACCTTTCCTCAGAGTTCTCCATGATCTCTAGTTAAGTATGAGGAAGTACACACATACGGCCACCCTACGCTGGAAGTTTGGCGAAGGGCCTAAAGCTGGAGCCATTCCAGATCTAGGTAGCAGACACCAGCTCTATGGAGGTCAGGCCTTGAGCTGAGGGTGGGTTTGCAAAACTAAGCACTACTTGTCCTGCTTGAGGCAGACCTATGAAACTCAGAATTTTAGAGCAAGTAGATAGATTCTAGAGAAGAGTCCTGGTGGCACAATGCTTAAGTGCTTGGTTGCTAACCCAAAAGCCTGTGTGGTCGAACCCACCTGCCACACGGAAGGGCAAAAAAATGTGGCAGTTTGCTTCGGTAAAGATTACAGCCTAGGAAACCCTCTGGGGCAGTTCTACTCTGTTTTACAGGGTCACTGTGAGTCAGAATTGACTCAATGGCACACAACAACAAATGTTTCAGAATTGTGGGCAAAGTTCAGCTCCTTCTACCACCCTCACCGTCTTAGGAAGCAAAGAAGCCCCTCTGCGGAAGAAAGATGAGGCTTTCTGCTCCGGTGAAGATTTACAGCTTTGAAAACCCTATACAGGGTTCCTATGAGTCAGAACCGACTCCATGGCACACAACAGACTGACTGAACTGACCACACTCACCTTCTTGGGAAGCAAAAAAAAAAAGAAATCTGACTCGCCTGGTCCAGGCCGCTGAATGTGAAACCCAGATTACCTTCCTAGAGAATCAAACCTGGTAGGTACATTCCTGTGTGCCGGGAGGTCGTTCATTCATTCAGAGCCTGTAGGAATTGATTACAAATCCACAGTGCACAACCCTGGACAAATGACTAATGCAAGCACATACTGTGAACAGTGGGTTGTCAAGGTTAGGCTACCCTGTACACTCTGACACCCCAGTGATCCCACCAGTTCATATCTCAGACTACTCCAGACCTGAGCATCAGAGTAAGAATCTAAGTGCTTCCCGGGGTTGCAGAAAGCTGATCTATCATAGGATTTGTCTCCCTGCAGGGAATTTGTCCACCAGCATTCCCAGGTGGTCCTGAGAACTTGTTCCCACACCTGGACAAATTGGGAAAAGTGTCCAAGAAGATAGCACTTACTCCCAGAAAGTGAAGGAGGCTGAGTCTGAGATAGGCCAGAACAACATTTTATCCAACTGAGTGTGGCTCATTGCTGAGAGGTTGAAACCTACTGAAACCTGAAGTCAGAACTCCAAAGGGTTTGAACTATTCACATTTCAACAGCAGATCCCTGCAGATATCAAAGCATCTAATGTGTATCCCTTGCAGCAAGTGGGATGTAAAGCCACTAGATTTGGAAGGCCAGCATATCAAGGGACACCTTCCTCTCCAACACTGGGGCACCCAGCAATGGGCATCTGGGCCCTGCAGTAGCACCCATCAAACTGCACTTGGAGAGCACCCAAATTCTGATCTCTATTCTATGAGAGTTCTTGCGGGTCTTCAAGAACAACCTTCCCTTCCCACACCAGAAGGTCATCTCAGTGAACTCTTTAAAGAGATTGGGCAGGGTTTCCTGAAACCAGAGAAGGTCCTCAGTTTGCAGGCCAACTGCCAGGGAGCTGCTAAAGCCTAAGTCATCTCCCACCAGACTTCCTTTCTCTCAGAGCTCAGCACCGACACAGGCAGGAAACCAAAGGGGCTTAACCAGGAATCTGGCTTTAGGAGCTGACAGTGATGGAGCAGTAGAAGGCGAGACCATGGTCCCATATGGATTCCCTGAACCACTCGGGTCCCTCTAGTGAGTTACACCAAAGACTAACCCCATGGCTCCTAGAATTCTGCTGAGACAATGAAAAGATAGCCGGATATAGCGGGAAAGGCAGGAATGAGTGGGGGGCTGGAGAGGTGGAGTACAGGGGACTTGTAGGGCAAGTGAACTATTCTGTATGATTCTGTAATGACATTATGCATTTATCAAAGCCCATAGGGCAGCGCAATATAAAGAATGCACCCAACTGTAAACTATGGACTTTGTTGTGTCATCGAGCCAGTTCCGATTTATAGCGACCCAGTATAGAGTTTCTGAGGAACAGCTGGTGAGTTTGAACCACCCACCTTGCAGTTTAAACTGACCTTGTGGTCCGAAGTCCAATGCTTATCCCATAACACCACACTAGGACTTTAGTTATTAATAACATATCAATATTGGTCCATTCATTGTAACACATATACCAGATAGGGGAAATGTGGGCGGGGGAGAGGGAGTACTTGGGAACGCTGCTCGATATTTCTGCAAACCTAAACTCGTTCTAAAAAGTAAAATCAAAGCTAAAAAAAAGACAATCAGAAGTCCCCTGGGTTTGCAAATTTATGTCTTAATTATCTTCTGAGAGCTTAGACTAGCCCCAGCTGACTGGAGGCTACACAGGAATTGAGAGGAATCGAAAGAGT